TTTCCGGCCATTGAGTATGGTACCACTACAAAATTAAACTGTCAAAGCTCTTTCTTGTCTGAGCCATATTGAAAAGCAAAAAGCGTTGTGAATACCTTAATGTTATCAATGACTTTTACAAGTTTTGCCTAAAAACACCTTATGAAAGATGATATGCGTTATAGCGATTTACGCAATAAATAGTCTATTTCATCATCTGCAATCTGGAAAATTTATTCCATTAGAGTGTGTTTTCGTCTCATAAGCTTATTAAAATGTATGGGTCTACATTGGAATTGAGTATACGCTACACTGAATAACTTGGAAGAATTAAAAAAAAAAATTCAAGATGATCATTAATTATGGAAATTTTGAATGATCTCTTGTTCTCCTCAGCCAGATCTTCCTTAGTAGCTCTTAATTGAACTGATCAGTCTAGAACAAATATTCTTTCAGACGCAGTCTTCTTAGGTTGGAAATTTACCTCTGCATTAAAAGTTCAAGTCGAAACATCTGGCCAGTATGAGAAAGGCACAACAATATAAATTCCTCAATGTTTTGATCATTCACCTAGCTCTTAGGTGTTTTTTCGCGACCTATGATCCTGTGAGTGTTTGCTCAAATTTAATAACATCGCAGGCACTCCCTACGTTAACGGGTTGGAAGGTACAAAATTCTCTCGTCTGAACAAATCAGTTCGAGACTCTTAGCACTGTTGTCCAAAGTGAATACTGGAGCTGTACATTGCAATCAAAATACCAACGCAATCTCTCATGCGTGTAGCACGGCAATCTCCTTGCAGTGTCGATTGACAACTTTTCAATCTTGATTGGTGACAAAATTTTCTCTACGTATCCCCTACATTTAGCCTGAGAATAAATTGTGAATTTGTGACAATTCGCAGAATTCCAATCGTGGGACCGATGGTATAATGGTCTCCCCCTGTTAGATAGTTCAACTCTGCTTCCTTGCTTTCATTTATCCCATCTCAAAAACAAATTACGATATCAAATCCTTAAAGGATCTTTTACTTTCACCTGGTACCAAGCGCATGTGTCATGACTGATGTTAATGTTTCTCTTTGTCGTTAACAAAGTCNGAATAAATTGTGAATTTGTCACAATTCGCAGAATTCCAATCGTGAGACCGATGGTATAATGGTCTCCCCCTGTTAGATAGTTCAACTCTGCTTCCTTGCTTTCATTTATCCCATCTCAAAAACAAATTACGATATCAAATCCTTAAAGGATCTTTTACTTTCACCTGGTACCAAGCGCATGTGTCATGACTGATGTTAATGTTTCTCTTTGTCGTTAACAAAGTCTACTCTTCAAAAATTGTGGATTTTTATAAATGAAAGAAAATTAACTGCTGTTCGACATCTAGTTCCATTACCCTGCACATTTTTAATGGCAGAGTTCAAAAAAGGAACAGCGTATGAAACAGTAAACTCCACCAAATCAAGAAACAGTGGGAAGAAATTCAACATTCCAAAGGTTCAAAAAAATTTCAAACTACATCCTGGTAAATCCCAATGCACTCACATCTAGTATCTTGAGTGTATTCTGACCTACCACCCAGGTCTTTCCCACTCAAGGCAAATCTGTCAATTCTTCATCTTAATGAAAATATGTCTTTCTCTCGACCTTGAGTATTTCGCATAGACGACAAACGTTTTCTGCCATTCAACTTGAGAACAGTGTCAACGGTGCGTCAAATCTGGATTTCACGATACCAGACAGGTGACAATCTTTTCGCCCAGGCGATCCGCAGCCTGTTTCCCCTTTTCCGTTTTGAAAGGCATCATTTTTGCGCAGCCAAGGTAGCTTTCTGTAGTATGTTGAGATTTTAAATATAACATCTTTATACTGTTCGTTACATCCCGAGAGTTTTATAGCTGCGAATCTCCATAAGCACTGGCCTAACGGATTATATTGTCCTATAGCCATCTTGAAGTCGATACAGCTAATTCTTAACTTACATTACAGCAACTCCAGCTGCTGTGAGAAAACGAGTCTCGAAGGGTTTCGAAGTACGATTTGTACATTTCTATAATTGCCGTTGATCAAAGCTTTTTTAACACGCCTGATCAGAATTTCGGATCGGACTTGATCAGTTTCTGATCAAGACCTGAACAGAATTTCCACTCGGGTATGAGTCAATTTGAGAGTGAAATTCGTAAGTGTCCTGGTAGCTCAGATGGTAAGAGCACCCGACGCGATATTGGGAGGTCCCGGGTTCGTTTCCCGGCTAGGAAGTTACTAATTTTTTCTCTCAAAAAATTAAATTAAATTTTCCATACATCACTTTCAATTCATTTTGTTCATAGTTTTTTTATTCGCAACTTTTACTTGATTGAATCGGCCATCTTATGAGGAGAGAAGTCCCGTGGTCCCGGTAGCTTAGTTGGAAGAGTGCCCGGTGCGTAACTGGGAGACCCGGGCTCGATTCCCGGCTGGGCGGATCGGGATTTTTTTCTCTCTGAATTTCAATTCTATTTGAATTAATGAATCCCGGGTTTGATGATATGCTACATGGAGGTGTAGTGGTGGTTCCCGTCACGTGGGACAGGAATTGACGGTAATTGATGAGATGTGATTACTAAGTTTGATGATATGCTACATGGAGGTGTAGTGGTGGTTCCCGTCACGTGGGACGTGAATTGACGGAAATTGATGGGATGTGATTAGTAAGTTTGATGATATGCTACATGGAGGTGTAGTGGTGGTTCCCGTCACGTGGGACGTGAATTGACGG